GGCCACATTTAACTCATAAACTAAGGTACTAAGAGGCTGAGTAACGACCTTGGAGTGGCACAGGTGGTGGGAAGAGGTGCCTGGTTTTAAAACCGGCAATTTGTAGCCAGAGCAGGTTCTCTTAACCAGAGTCCTCTGTCCCCGCCCCACTCCCACGCTCCCTTCCAATCCAATGGTCTCAAAATACTCTGCACCCCGACCCCCAGAAGGAAGTCAGGAAGATGCGGACAGCGGCTTCTGATGTTTCATGCTGCCCCTTCCTCCTTCGAGGCCTGAGGAAAGACACTCACCGTATTGGACCCACTCCAGCTCGTGGGGCTAGGAGGCTTCCTCCGATGGCGGTGGACGCTGAGAGGAGAAGGCGGAGCACTGAGGGACGATGGGAGGTGTCTTTGGCACCTTCCACCTCACCCTCCTCCGGGGTTTAAAGGCTCCATCACTCAATTGCCCTACAAAAGACCGTTTCCCTCTCCCCAGACACCTTCTGGAGGCGGTTCTCTCCCCCAGCCCAAGTTTTACCCTCTGGGGAGGGATTCGGAGACATCCTCGAACTCGCTGCAGGAGCTGGCGGACGAGCAGCGGCTGCGGAAACTGTCCACTGGAGAAACGAGGAGCCCCGTGAGCCTCCCGCACGCACCGGCACCGCGGAGCCCTGGTGCCGACCCGTGCGCCCCGTGCGCTCCCGCCGTCTCCAGCCGCATTACCGGAGGAGCTGCGGCGTCGGGAGCGGTTGGCGTCCCCTCGGCAGGTCACGGCAGCAGGAGGCCGAGTCTGGCGAGCCCAGGAGATGGACGGGCCGTCCCCGCTTCCTCCGCTGCCAAATCGGTTCCGCTGCTGCTGCTGCTGCTGCTGCTGCTGTCTGGGGAGCGGGAAAGGAGACACCTGCCTGTGCGCCCCACGGATGTGGGGGAGCCGCTTCCCTATGGGTCGCAGCCAGGGCTGGTGACCCGCCCGAGGTGGAAGGGAGAGAGGAAGCAGGGGACAGATGGCGGAGACAGGTAGGAGACAAGGATGGGTGAAGGCAGGTCAGACAGCCAGGTCAAGGGGCAGGGGTAGGGGCCGGTGAGGAGGGAGGGGCGCTAACTTCATCTTGATCTCTCTCTGCTTCTTCTCCTTGGCTTTCACAAAGGCTGTGGGGTCCAAACGCGGGACGCGACCACCTGGGGCGGGGAACAAGAGGCTGGGGTCACAGGATCCCGCCCCCACCGCTCTCGTCCGTTCGGCCTCCTCCCACTCACGGGGCTGGGGCGGCACCGACCTGTGGGGGAGGGCGAGGGGCGGGCGGGACGGCCTCGACCCCGAGCCCCACGGCCGCTCTCCCGGGACGAGGAGCGGGCAGCGCCGCGGCCACGCGACGTGGAGCGCTCCCGAGACGATGCAGCCCGGTCCTCCCGGGCCGGGGGCGGAACCACTGGCGGAGTCCGTCTCCTGGGGGAACAGGACCCGCTGTCAGTTTCCCACCGGCCAGGACAAGTCCTGTCCCAAGCTCCTTCCCGGCCTGCACCAGCTCCGAACCTTCGCGTCCCTCCTCCCACGATTTCTAGTCATCCACAACCTCGCACTAGATTCACACAGACTCTCCGCCCCTCTCAGAGTCCCACAAAACTCTCCCCAAAATACGTATGTCACTTCCCTCCCCCCCCTTCACTGGGGCCTTCTTCCAAGGTCTCCCAAAGCTCCCTGAAACTCCCCAATTTTCCACCACCCGCCTCAGTACAAAATCAGCGCACATCATCCAGATCTCCATCAGCAACCCTACGCCCTCTCGCTCCACCAGACCCTCAGGCCCCGCCCCCTCTCCCCCGGGTCCCCACATCCAGGCCCCACCTCCTGATGCAGCAGCCTCAAGCCCCACTCACCTCTCCACAGACCCCGCCCACCACTGCCCACGATGGGAGCCTCCTGTTTCCAAGTCCTAGGCCCCTCCTCTCCTGCATCCCCTCCCCCCTTACTCACCCACCTCCATCCTG